TAAGTAAATAATTTCTGCACAGAAAATCGGAATGCTTCCATGCATCAATCGCAGTCAATTTCTCAACATCACTTTCTTGCTCGATGTATGAAGGCACATTTTTTTTGAGAAATTCTGCCAAACTTAATATTGTCAGATAAAAAAGCATTTTTAGTTGCTAACACTTGAAATCTGACCCATTAACTTTTTCTTATTTTTCCCGATCGTATTTAGGAGTGTAGTATTAAAAGTTGCCATTTCTGAAACACAATCAGAAGATAAACAATAAGAAAGAGTAGAAACAGAATAAACTACAATAAAAAATTTCGTTTTAAAATTGTTGGTTCTAGAGTATAAGTTTATATTTCCAAACAATCTGACAGAATTACCTTAATGTAATTTTGTACAGCGTAACATTACGATCAATAGGAACAGAAAATTAAATTCGATCCATCATGAGTTTCCTTAAACCAAATTTGCTGCTTTCAACGGTACTAAAAGCGTGCAGCAATGGTTTCTTAGGATAGAACGAATTACGTCTCCCATGGAAGTAGCACACCAATCTATAGGAGTTCCAACGAACGCAATGAAGTGTTTTCACTTCGAAGATAATATCAAAACGAGAGAGGTGGAGAATGAGACTCAAAGCAGAGAATATTTGCAATGAAAATTTTGTAATTTTTCTGACTGTGGGGGACTATTTATAAACTTGTTTGTGGCCATTCGAACATCCTCCAAAACAGTCGTCACTGTTCAGACAACCTTCAAAACTCGAATAGACATGTTAGTTCAATGTCGTGTCTATTAAGTCAGTTCACAGACAGCTGTTTAACGGACCATCTAGACGAAAAAATTACCCAGAAATAAGCCAATAATTAAATTTCATTAAGTACCCAAGAATTTGATTAACTAGAATTTGGTCCAAAAATTCAAATAAATTTTATTCAAGAAGTTAATATAACGAAAGGACCCACTCCTACCCGAACACGTGCTTGTGTTGTGTCGGCCGGTCGAACGGCGGTGCGTGCATGTGTGTTTATGACCAAACCCGATAGGATATAGGTCTCCACCCTTCCAAAAAACTATTGGCACCCCTTGGGGCTCAAACCCAATTCCCAAACTTTTACTATATAAATTACACCAAAGCTTTCTAATTTTCTTATGTGGGATAAGTGTTTGGCAAATCACTTTTTTTCATAATTCAAAGTTTCAAGTGAGTTACTTTGACATTCACTATTTCATTTAATTCTAAATGGCTTTCGACAAACAAATATATCACTTTAATCATCTTGCAGAGTAGAACGCGAATATGTTAGGTCCCATATTAATTAAAATGTGGGGCCCACTAAAATTTGGATTCAAAGTTGACTCATTTCATTAACACTTTTATAACAAAAATCCACAAAATAGAATAGGCCGAAAAAGTAAAAGACAACTGTTCGTCAAAATTCCGCAAGCGTACGAGTTCGTTGTACAAGTAATAATCGTGATGAGAGAGTTATCGTCCCACAGTAAATAAGGATCAATTTTAGTATATTTGATATATTTAAATTCGTGTTTGTAACTAAAAGACGATCGAAGGAATAACTAAATAATTTTTATAACTAAAACTTGTGAAAATAATTAAAATTGGTTTAAAAATTCAAATGTGTGAACGTATTGGATTTCCGACGCCACTGATCAATTCTTAGTTCTAATTCTCAACTAGTGATAATTATCTCAATTCATGCAATTGTGACGATCGATAATTCCACTATTATTTATTATTCTTTCCCAAGATATAATAAACTTATGGTTACCACGAGACGATTCTATTCCTTGTTCGAATTCATCTGACAAACATGCATTGACATTTAGGATTATTGCATAAGATCGCACACGCCACAAATATTATTCCTAATATTTATTGCTCGTGTATTTCAATAACAGTGTTCTACCTATCGTGAATTTTTCAACACTACGAATAAGCAACTTATTGTCCTAATGGTGCGCAAAACATTAAAACAATGTAATTATGCATATTAATGGAATCACAACACAATAATTAACATAAAAACATAAGTCTCGAATTAAAACTAAGAATTAAACAATTTTGTCATCCATCCAATACAAAAGAAAAATTAGCCTGGCATACTTTTGGAATTAAAAAAAAAAGTGGAAGGAAATCACCGAAAATCGACGGAAAGTGATTAAATTGTAAAGGTTGAGCGTGTATTTATTTTGTTCCAATTTCTATGCCTTTTGCCGTGTGTAATTTCACCCTTGCAATCACCAACTTTGTATCTAGATTAAATAATGCAGCCACCCAATGTGTATATCCATTCAATTCCAGCAACTCAATTTTTTTTTTTCTATCTTCTCCAATAAATAATAGGTAGCCGCAATTCCTTTTCAATTTCTCCACTTTCTTTTCCACTCAAGCTGCCCAATTATATGTGTGAATCCCTCAACAATTTCCCAAGTAGCTGCCTTTTATACTCCAACCGTAGCCGACGTCTTCCACTCCAATTTTCTCCCTAGTTGGCGTGTGGAATCTATAATGGCAGTTGCAATTTCTTCTTAATTTCTCCAGCAGCAGCCCCTTTTTTTCTCTTCTCCCCGGCTCCCTCTTTTTCTTGCATGTGTGTGTGTGTATATATATATATATATATATATAGCCGGCAGCCCTATTTTTCTCCAAAGCCCAATTTATTTAATTCCAAATTGAGGTCCAATTAATAACTTATTTTCTCCAAGTCATCGAACTTTTAAGTTAATGCAATGTAGTCCTTGAGTTCCTCAACTGTGCAATCAACATCCTCTTCAATTTTCCTAGTGTTGAATTTGATCTTCAATATTGCATCCAATAGTCAATTTGTTCTTCATCCTTTCCAATTACTTCAAACGGGTCATTTACTAAAAACAAAAGAAAATTCACGTAAGTTAAGTAGAAATTAGCAATTTGACGACTTAAAAATTTAATAATGTGATATAAATACACAAATTGCGCTTATCAACAACCAAGGCTTGTGAACTACGTTCCAACTCAGTAATAACTTCTGCATTAATTATCAAAGGTGTAAAAAAATTCCATTCTATCCACAAAGCCCCAAATCTGTCATCGCAGCAAATAATGTGGACCCACGGTATAAGCCAAGGAAGATTTCAATTGTGCGGCCAAGCTTAAGATTTCTCCGGCGAAGAATCTCGAGGTGGTTAAGGCCGCTGCCAAGAAGGTTACTCTTCACATTCAACCAAAGATTCAGGTTACGGCAATATAAGTGTTTTCACGAAAGTTCATAAATTAAAACACAATGAATCATGGTTTTACAAATGTAGCAAACTTTATATCCCTTGTCATATATTAATTAAACACAAAGAATTAACACCCATAATCATGGTAAAAAATCACAAATCCATGTATCTGAAATCCATCAGTAAGTACCAATGAAATATCTAAGCATATACATTGTTTATCCTTAATTAGAAAATTAAAAAAAGCTAAATATAATCCAAAGAACAAATTGCATTTCATAAATTTTGCAATTATCCTTAACTGAAAACCAACTAAACACGAGAAATTCAAAAGCCCTCAAATAAAAATTCTCAACTATCAAAAGCAACAATTACACATTAAAGGAGAACCCAGTTCATAATTAAACATATACTAATAGCAAAATGCTTGTTTCAAGTGATTATATTCAACACAATTTCAATGACATTGAACAACAAATAATTTTTATTTTAACCCCAATCCAAAAAAGCGACAAATTCCATGGTTGTGCAAGCCCAGAACAAATTATATCCCTCACCAAGTAACAATTAAACATGATGGAGTTGCACCGATAACAGATTTTATCCCTTTTTTGTCTACATATGGCCTCACAAAAGAACAGTAAAATGTGAGGGAAAACTCATAAATGAATAGTAACTTGGGATTCATGCTTGTAAGGTGATGGAGAATACTATAGTCTCTATCTCAGTGGTTTTACCGTATTGACCAAAAGATCCGCTGTAGCACTTGGTAATACCCAGATATGATTTGATCATTGGAATCCGGGTTCGAACCCCGGCAGCGGAAATATTAATTTTTCTTTCAAATTTTTATTTAGAGTTCAAAATTTTTGAGCCTTTTAAACAGTAAATTTTTAAATGATTAAAAGAACACCCAATAATTTTTTGACACTTATAAAGCATTAGAAATACCTTTGGATTTGCCATTCTAATTACTAAAAGACGGTGAATTATCTTGTATGTCTACTTATTTTCTAAAATTTTCATTCTTCGTAAATTCTCATTGGTAAGTGGTATCTTACTTGATAGATCTGGTAGATTCCTAGATTATAAGCCACCTTATCCCACACCCTTCTCCTTGTCTAGTTCGAGCTCATAGTCGGTCGTTAAGTACAACTTAAAGTTGATATTTTTAAATGCCTACAAGTGTTGCAACGTTTGGCTAATAACCATGTGACGACACCTAACTTTGGCGATCCACCCATTATGACACCGTTATACAGGAATTTCATGAATGATAAGATTTTATATAGTAACTTAATTATTTTCAAAGCTGCATTTGGATAAAAATATCCAAAAGTCACCCTAAAAAGAGGAAGACAAGATAATGTTGTAGTAAGTACTTTGTTATCCGATGATGTCTACTCCACTCATGAATTGACTACTCTACCTTATAAATCAACAATCAAAATCACTGCCACCCTTTAAATCCTATATTACATCTTATCTAGTTGAAAGTTAGTAGATTACCTATTTAGAACATAAAGTTAAGGTTTTGAGGTTTATCTATCATATAAGAAGCCAAATGAGTCTACACATCCAATCAAGTTTGTGGGTTCTTTTTTTGGTTGTATCAAAATGTTTGTTGTCAACTATGTTTTTCCACGACATAAGTGAATAAATAAGCACGGTCATGGCACGATAGATAGACGTTGTAAAGAGAAGTCGAATCAAATCAAAAGTGGTGATGGAACTTTGGATAATTTTCCTTTTGCATTCTAATCACAAATTTAAAATGATGACAGAAGTTGGAAAGAAAAAGATAAAATTATTGCATAACCACTGAATTCATGAACTATATACAACTGCAAGTTGTTGATAATAATAGTAGTCGTTTGAATGGGAGAATACACGGCGGCTTAAAAAAATGCGCCTGTGAATCTCCATCTAATTCTTGACCTATCTCTAAAAACCTTCATTACGAACAACTATACCTAAAAAGCAAGTGCAAGTCATATAGAGCAATACGTCTTGATAAGATGATCCACTAGGCCGATGTCTCTCCCCACCTTGCCAAATGTATTAAAAAAGACAAGACATCCGATGAATCGTGTAGAGAATATGAAGCCGAGGTTTCCCTTGGGACTGAAGATACAACTATGGGATAACCTAGCCCTCTTCTCTTTAGTACCTATCAATCAAACAAGAAATGTTACAACATTAAGAAATCAAATGCAAAATAGTTATGATCAGACTGAATATGTTTAATAAATTGAATTTTGGATGAAAACCTTGAAAGCGTCTTCGTCAGTTTTGTCATCACCGAGGTAAAATGGAAGAACGTTACTGGAGTTGGAAAATCCCAGTGTGTCAAGCAAGTACTCGAGAGCGTCCCCCTTATTCCATTTGATCGATGGCCTAATCTCCATAACCTTCTTGCCTCGAGTCATATGGAAACAAGGATAGTCGGAAAGTACTGACCAAACTATCTGTTCCAGGGCTTCGTAATCCTGAATATTAGATGAACGAACCTCATGAAGTCGAATATAAATTCCTTTTTCTGACAGAAAATACCATGTTATTGTATGTTTTAGTACCTCTTCCAAGACATGCCTGTAATGCACAGAAATACAGAACCTATTGTCCTCTACAAAAGCGCCCGTTATATTGCAGGTTCGGGTTTTCAATTCCTTTAACATCTGTTACAGAAAATATTGGAAACATCAAGCATTATTTCTTCATCCAATAAATTAACCATATATAGACAGTGCTTAAGCAAAAATAAGTAAAATCACCTTTTCAATTGAGGGCAAATACTCCTGAGCAGGTTGGAAGATAGTGAATTCTTTACCCTGCAAAATCATTATGACAAATGTTTGATGACAGGGATCTCAGCTTTTCCTTCGTGTTATCCTTTCGAGGCAACAGTTATCTATGCGTAGTTGGTCTAAAAGCATGTTTGGCTGTGCTTAAAAAAGCTACTTTTATGTAGGTAAGATCATGCAGAAACTGACCTTTTCATCTTGAGCGTTAATCTGATACTTGTCGTGGTGATACTTAACTTGCAACGGAGGCCCCATTATGTCCATCCCGTGGCTCCCAGCATAATAAACATCATCCAACTTCACAAATGCATACACCTGATAACGTGCAAAAGAAAATCATTAAAATGGAATAAAAAGACAATGAATCACTTGATATGATACAACGTTAATAATTAGTAACCTTGTCTCGACTTCTACCACTTATAATAGCTGTTGGAAAACGCCTTGCTACATCATTCAGAGCCGAGCGCATCTACAAATTTATTTCGCAAACTTTTAATCTAAATAAATCGTATATGTGGAATGAGTTTGAGATCAGTAATAGAAGTACTGAGATTTACCGGATCAGTCATGAAGGCACGGTTTGGATCATTCACAATTGGTGAAAGAGTCCCGTCATAATCTAAAAACACGACAATTTGCTTCCCTTTTGCAGGTTTCATCATCTGATGAAATGAAGCTAGTGCACAAGGGTGTTCCTTCTGAAACAAAGAGGACTTCAAAGTGAGATGATAGCTTATGTGTCAAATTAGTACAACATTAAACATGTAACATCCTCGGATGACTTCCTAATGTTCTACTTACCAGCCAAGATATGTACTTTTCATCTTCAGTATCTGGCCCACTGGGCTCAACTTCTTGAATTTTTCCCGAAATGGGCTGAACAATTTGTGACTTGGAAAGCAATTTCTTAAGGCCCATGCGGTAAAGCCACCAGATACTTTGCTTCACCATTATCTGTTAAAGAAAATAAGAAAAGTAGTCAGAGCTAGAATTCGTTCATATTCAGAAATCCTAATTAAGAAAATTTATGAACAAACAACAAATAATTAATTGTGCTCTCCCACTATCCCGTTCGACATGTTTTATATGTTGAAAGATTTGATATGATTATAGAAAATATTATGTAGATTTTGGATCGTATTTAATTAATGCATCCAAAAATATAAAAGGACACAAAGTATGATTGGCATTCAAAAAAATCGTTAAGGAGAAAATCGAAGAAGAACATTATACACACACAAAAAAGGAAGAAAAATACCAAATGTTACTAAAGGGATTGAGTTTCAAATCAATTCAAGTCTTTGTCAACATGCCACATATAAAGGCTTCGTTTTATCTTATCTAGAAAACATGTGGGACCCACGTGAAAGTGCATGAACATGGAAAACCCCACTTTTGTTATTATTTTTCCTCCTAGGAGAGCCTTTTTTTTTTTTTTTTTCAATTTTAATTTTGAATCTAGTTTATAATCTTGGTTTAATCAATTTGCAACATTCAAAAATAAAGATATATAGAGGATCAAAGGCGTGGAGTATCATAATTATAAGTACTTCGCAATTAATTTAATATATTCGTAACAAAAACCTACAAGAAGAAACATAAGCAACCCTTGAAAATACAATTACTAATCTTGAATATAAAATTAGTTTGTGGGGTATTATATAAAATAAAAGAAAATATTTAATTAAGATTAAAAGTTTACCACAAGAAAATTGACAAAATTGACTAGCACATAGAAAAAAATATGAAGATAAAAAGTAGATAGTCTTTTTCAATGACAATAAATTAATCAAAAGATATAAATTATTGCAAGTATATGTATAAAATATAAGGTCACTTTAGAAATAAAATATTTGATATGAAAACAACAAGAAACTAATACCAAAAAGCGTGGGAATATAATAATATTAATATCTTTTTTCATATAAATTCGGATTCGAATGACTCAGCATACATTTTTCTTTAAACATGTGTCTTAATCAAAAGTAATAATCATTTTATCACCGCCATTAATTGGAACTTTATTGTCAACAAATTTAGACTAAACTACGTTAAAAAATTGCTTTTTATTATAAAGTACCACCAACTACCAACTTCTCAAATTCCAACGGCTGCCAACTGTTTCGACAACTTTCCCTCTCTCTAGAAAAAATACGAGTATGAACAATAAACTCATTTAAAATTATATACGAAATATATGTAGAATAAATTTAATACACATTAGAATATAAACGCGGTTTACATCAAAGTTCAAGTACAAAATTTGGAACATTCAAGGAAGTTACATACCCAAGATAAATGAGCTTTGTGCAAAGGGGTTTTCTTTTTTTTTTTTTTTTTTTTACCGGATGTGCAAAAGATTTTAATTAAAAACATATTGTTCGCCAGTGAGAGTAAAAGCAAAATAATTTTGTAAGTTTGCACATTTGCGGAAAGAAAATAAAACAAGAGATTTTTAGCTACAAAAGCGGGCATAGCTTTGTGGTACCTAGAAATTGAGATATGTTGACTTAAAAAAAAAAAAAAAAAAAATACATCTTCAAGATAGAGCATGGCACGACTTTATAATGAATCCATATGAAAGAATTGTACCTGCCATGAGTTAAAAATTTAATCAGCTTAATTAATTTCTCAGAAAAGAGTGCCAAAAGTACTATTCTTAATTGCTTTTTTAGCTATAAATTAACAAAAAGCAAGCAAAGATGCAATTAGGATTGAAAACATTTTTTTCCAAAAAGTTCAGTGCTTAATACTTTGTGTTTACACGAAACATTAAGTAGTGATGCTATGTATCATCACGGATGATTTAATACGGCAATAGCCCCACTACCGATATCAAGTTGGTGTTTATTGCCCGCAATGATACATAGCATTATTCAAAATCAAGATACCATATTGCACTGCTAGTTTCAAATTTCGAGAGTTTAATGCTAGCAAACTCAAAAGTGATTAGAAGAGTATATTTTGCTAGAAAACTAATAAGTAATTAACTACTAACTAGTTTAGCCTATCCAATGCGTTATATATACTCACTTTCAATCAAAAATATGAAGTACTAACACGTTATGCAGTTCCTAGAAATGTAGATGTAAATAACAAAGAATCTAAAAAGTGGACTCAACTTCTTGACTACCCAAAGGTTCATCATACTAAACCAATTAAACAATAACTCCACGACATAAAGGTGAAGAAGAAATCACGCCTAAACACTTGCAAACTATACCAACGTTCTTTCCTCACATGAAACTAAATGACTAGCAAAACCTTAGATTCTTTACACGTATAAACATGCAACGTGTATCCTATGAAGACAGCATTAAAATAACCTAAAAGAACTCAATAGAATATTACCCCCAGTTGACTAGACTTGTCCAATCTACGTGTCAACATAGAAAAAAGTTACTAAGAAAACAATATTATTTAATGACCGACACTAAGGGAAACATGAAAGAAAATGTGTCAAAAAACTGGTGCAACTTTCGAGAAGGTAGGACCAATTAGTATTTGAAACATGACACAAAGAACATACTTTACTAAAGTTTCAAAATGACTAATGAGTTTTCTACTAAAGGACATGGTATAAGACGAAAAGTCCATGACCAAGAAACTACTTGGAACTGCAACATTTCTAGGAAAGCAAGTACAATTCTTAATTAAAAATAAAAAATAAAATGGTTGAACCCCAACCTTGAGGGCCCTACAGCCCCTCCCTTAAAGCTTTGTGAGGAGGTAAATCGCGAGATGTGCCCTAACAGGCCAGGAAACAAGAGCTGTCTGTACATTGCGCCTATAAGGAGTTCAATTCCATTTTTTAGGAATCGAACCCCCATACTGCGGCTGCTAGAAAGGTGTGAGATAACTTCACTCCTATCCTTTGAACCACTGGGCTATGCCCCGGGGGCGAGTACAATTCTTAATACCTAATACGCTGTATGAAGTACAAACAGTTGAATAGTGAATGGAACTATTGGCGAAATCATGGTAGTATTAGGTAGGCAATGAATGTATTATTGACTGTATAACATATTTAATTAATGATTGGTTTTCTTAAGGGCGCCTTTGAATTTCTAGATTTTTGATGATTGAGTGACTTGTTAAACAAGAAAATGAGTAGCGGAATCTTGTAAAAATGTACAAAGAATTTTCCATTTCCAAAGTTGACAATTTGAAAATTATGCTTGGATTAGAATTCTCTAACTCACAACATCTCAAAGCTGTTGCCTAGCCTCTAATAGCACCTAGTGTCATTGCACCAATCAAGGCTAACAAATTTATCGGTCGACATCTATGAAATGAAGCCGTGAAAAAAAAAAAAAAAATCCATGTTGTCCCTGGTTCAAATCTAAAGCGCAGGCAAAATAGGGTAAATCAGAGCTGGTTAATTAGAGATCTTTTAGCTAAACTTCAAAATCTTAATAGGTTATTTTTAAAAAAAATAAAAATAAATTAGTTAAAATTAAAAATAAATATGTTAAAAACATTGTTTTTCGGCTTAGCCTAATATGTATCACTACGTATGAACTTGTGGGCCTAGAGGTCAAGACGAACTCCTGGCCCAGTCAAGACAACTGGGCCCAACACACACGTGTGCGGTTGGAACGTACTACACGTTACAGCCTTCCACAAAAAGCCAAAGTAACCGAAAGAGTCGCGTGTCTGCACTTGCGCTCCCAAATTCATTAATCGCTGTAACCACGCAGCTAAATCGCGTGGTTTCGGTGCAACTCTGGATTTACACCCTTTAGAAGGAGAAAAAACGAACGCCAACCGCTTTTCGGGTTCGTAACGAACTGATCACCATTACTCAAAAAGCAAAATCGGCCGGGGAATTCAAAATTCGCCGTCGAAAGTGAGAAAATTTCCAATATTCCGAAGAAAAAAAATGTGTGATTGAGCATCGGAATAAAATTCAACTCCTAAATGCACGAATATTTCCTAATAATATAACAAAAACTCAATTACAGCACGCCATTACCAGAGAGAATTGCAGCGTGCGTTTGCATGTAGAAATTAAAGGAAGAAGAAGAAGAGACAGACAANGGTGTAGGCCTTTGGGAGTATACGCGAGTGCTTTGGGTGAGGTGGGGCGAGGAAGGGGGGATGGGCGTGGGGGGGTTGGAATTGGTTAATCATTGACCAGATTGAGGTAATTTACCGTAAATAAGGTTGAAAATACCATAATTTTGCTTTCCTTGATTATTGACGAATATAATTAAAATGGATTTCACTTTTATGGAATATTTTCCTCCAGAAATTGCTACTATGATAAGTCATAGGTACGAGTAACGAGTTGTCTTTAACATGTATAGTTATATAAAATCAAATCAAATTGGACAGTGGCTCACCGAATAATGTATTCAACCCCAAGTCGAGGGCTACGACTTTGATTATTTCGAAGATACAATATAAAAAATAAAAATAACAACATAATAATTTCACAAACTTTTAATGATCATATCAAATTAAATTGAAATTATATTTTCAAAATCATTAATTTTGATCTGTGTGGATCCATTAATGATTTGATTTAAATCATATATTTGGTATCAATTTAGATATTTTAATTATTGTTTGAAATCAAATTGGATCGTTTAATTTATGTGTACAAACTATAACATACTTCATTTGCATGTCACGTATAAAATGTGCATATATATAGCGTACATAATAAAATTGGAGAACATATTTTGTTAAATTAAATGATCTTCGTGATCTTCTTCTTATATTTATTAAGTATGTCTATTTGATTCCTATTGGTCGACCTATGATTTCTTAGATCTAAAACTATTATATAAATACGTAACATAAATTAAAAAAAAGAAAATTTGTTAGAAAAAATTGCACTAACTAAATAAAAATTTATTTGGTCCCACCACTAGAGTGCACTGCGAAAGATGAATTTCTAGCAAAAATACACTTCTAATTATCAGTACAAGATATAATTTCCGAGATTTTTGGAATTGTAACTGTTGGAAAAATAATTAGTTGCAATAACTTCCAGAACAGTAAAATGTAGAAATAAAATTTAACGATTGATCAAGTCTCGTAATAGCACGATGTCTTAAAGTGAAATTGTCCGTCGATAACTGCTGCGACCTCTGTGGGCGATATAACGATCACAAATCACTTTATGTAGCAATCATGAATGGTTTTCCTAAAACTCTCCAGTGTACTACAGAATTTTTTTTTTTTTTTTAAAATTGAGTAAAAATATCAGAGAATGAGACATTGTTTTGGATGATTTCGTTTTTTTATTTGTATTTTTTGACAAACGGGATGGGTGTATATATAGGCAAAATGGGTTAGAGATGGCAAAAATTCCTTTCAACCCGATACTTGTGGGGCTAACCGAGTACCTGAAATGGGTATGGGGCGAGGGTCATTGCCCCGAAGTGGATATGGGACGGGTACGGAAAACATAGTCCCCGTCCCATTACCCGCCTCGTTTAATATTAATTTCAAATTTAAGTTTTTATCAAACAAAAATATTGGATTTATCATCCTTTTTAAAGAGAACATAAATTGTTTTTAACAAATTGGTAAAAAAGTAATACTATTTACTAAGGACATAAAACATAAAAGCAAAAAATAAAAAAAATAAATAGGGCAATAAATGGGACAGGAGACTTATCTCGTCCCAAACCCGCCCTCGCTTTAATTGGGTATGGGTTTGGGGTAAAATAACAAAAATATCCGATAGGATAGGGGTGGGAATGGTCTACCCGTCCCATGCCCATCCCGTTACCATCCCTAAAATGGATCCAACCACCTCTACTATGATCTAGAAATATTTCCAAAATTTACTGGCTAGTGGATAATGGGTTGTTAATAGTGGATTGTTTAAAAAAAGGTCATTTAATACTAGGTGGTTTGATCCATTAAATAATTTCAAAAATGATTAAAAAATATATTTTAGTTGGGGAAGCCAAAGGCTAAAGCTCCAATCAAAGACTTTTCAATTGTTGCGTGGAAAGTGACCGGAATCCCCGACGTCCCACACAAATGATAAATTTTTCACTACTTTGACGCTTCATCTAAATAAATTATTTTTTTCACATTTTATATTTATAGAATAAAGATCTAACACTAACAATTCCACTTTCTATTTTCAAGTGATAATATGCATATAGAGATAAGAAAGGATTCTCTCTCTCTCTCTCTCTCTCTCTCTCTCTCTCTCTCTCTCTCTCTCAAGTCTTTTTTGTAGTTATCTGCACTCATACAAATCTGTATACACCATTTTTGAACAGATGAAGATTCTTTCCAAAGGGACAGAGAGATTTCAATTTAAATAATAAATTCTAATAGATTATATTTTTTTAACTAGATTTTACTGTTTTTGAATGACAATGTTTATGAGAGGTTGAAAAAAATTAGAGTGTGCTATCTTTTTCGGTGATTTTTTTATCGAAATCATTCCCACCGCACTCGACATTCACAAATTTGGAAAATAAATAAATAAATAAACCCTAAATTTACCTTGTATATGTCCAATAGATTTGCCAACAAGGGTTACATTGCCAGATATAAGTGAATGTTGTTGGCCGCAACAAATGTTGGACAAAAAGAAACAAAGTGGCTTAGACATCTTTTTTGTCGATAACCTTAGGTCAATCAATCGACTTTCTTGTGCTAGAACTTTGGCTCGGAAACACAAAAGTACTGAACGTGCTTTTTTATTTGGCCAAAGAACAATGCACATGATCTGTGTTGGCTTGAATCAACGACTCAAAAAGTGTCATGCATCGCCATTGGTCCACATAACAAGCCTAGTAATCCTTGTCTTTAATTGACTTGTGTCGCATAAAATGTTGAAAAACAATTAGCCCCAGGTCGAGATGTTGATGAACCCGATTCACAGACGACTCCTCAGGCCTTTTCCTTGGCCCGAGACAAACATAACATAGGGTACCATTTGAGGCACCTTGCCAAATAATGACATAACTTTGGCATGTACTACTGACAAGACATTATATAAATAAGATTTTTGCTTCTATTTTTTCAATACTATCTAGTACTGTCCAATCTTTCAATCGAACATGTTCTCAACATTTCTATCATCGGAACAAAAAATAAAAAATCCCTTGCCTTTCACAACAGAATAGAAAAATATACACCGTATTCTCTTTGGATATAGAGGAATTACATCTATGCATCTTCTTTCTTCTTTTCCAACTATATTTCAATTTGACAGTCAAAATTGAACCTTGATTGGGATAGTTAACCTGCAAAACATTACAAGCCGAGAATAAACATATCCACCAAATGCAACGTACTAAACAAAAAGTTTCAATATCCTTCAATTGCAGTCAGGCTCGTCATTTGCGAAATCAAAAAGCCTCAAAACACTGGTGCACATCCAAAAACCTGCATATCTCGTCCATCCAATAGGTCGCCCTTAACATCTCTCTCCAGCTTCATTGGTCACTCGTTAGTTTCCATTAAAACTTGAAGAAGTTCCAGTGGGGTAGCTGCTGGATCCAGCTCCAAAAAACCCTTTGGAGCATTCTGAGCTTCTTGGCCTGAAAGCAAGTGGCGAGGGACCAGATGAGAAAATCGAAACATTTCTCCTTTAGGTATCCTCTTAACCTTTTCCAATTCCAAATTTGGCCGAAATACAGTCTTAAAACCAACTTCCTTAATTAGAGGAGCAACAGAGACACCACGTTCCTCATTGTAGTCATCAAGCACCATCACCATGTCATACTTGTGGACAACTGCATCAGGGGTATGCTCATTCCAATCGGGCGACCAATTTTTATATAATGCCCAAACATCATCCTTTTTGGGAAATATTTGAAGAGTCCCATGTGGGCCTTTTGACCAATTAACCTTCTGAGAAAAAGAATTAATAGATTTGCACATTTCGTATTTTCCAACCCTAAACTCCCCACATGTTTTATAGAAACCTGAGCCTACCCACCCTACAGTACCAAATTCACTGTTAGTTTTTGAATTAAGCCAGCTGATCCTCAGCTTAAATGGATTCCTTGAAATCACCTTGTTAATAAGAGCATAGAAACGAGGCATGCCATCATCATTATCATAAGAAGCCCAAACCTCATTATCTCCAAAAGAACTTTCATTTCTATCCTGGTCGAAATCATGAAAGTCGGGATCTGGAACATTCATTGATGCTGCTGCAGGATCCTCTTCATCTGAATTATCAGTAGCAGAGATAACAAAACCTGTTTGTGCTTGTTCTCTTATATTAGTAGCAGAAAGCACACGGTTCCCATTATGATCATGTCCACCAATATCAACTGTGCTATCGTGTTTCTGTCTTTGGTACTCTTTTCGCTTATCTTTTACTTTATCTCCAGCTTTAGCTGTGGGCTCTGATCTCCATTCATTTAACCTCTTCACAATTTCCTCTTGAGCTTTTCCCATGAGCATTTTTCGAATTTCTAGCCATGGCAGCTCTCTACTGCTGTTTAGCTGACTGTTGCTGCCAGAACAATAGATCCTTGACCCCGATGAACTTGCACTTCCGAACCCACCTGCGCCCTGGGTTTCGTAATAGTTCACTCCATTTAGATATCTATCATCTATTTTTCTCTTTCTACACTCTCCCTCCAACCCACCAGTGACGTGTGATTCAGTAAATGCTCTCTTCATTTTCTCCTGTGCCTGCTGAACACCATTTGTTGCCTTTGTCGCATTTCCAGGAACCGAATTCTGCAGGATATTTGCATATCTCGAAGAATTCGAACCAGTGTATCCAGGTCCTGCTTTCTGAGCACCTGCAAAATTTCTTCCCCGAGCAGAATGATTTTGATTATTTGCATGACTACTCGAATTCTGATGCCGGTGTCGAGAAGCTAAATTTGAGGATTTGGAAAAGCCGAATGGTGAAGATGTCTCTGAAGCCTTAAAGGGATTGTTGCAAGCGGGACAAAGAAGAGTGTGATTAAGATACATCTTAACATACTCATAATGCATCTTGCATTTACGACACATGGTCCAGAAAGTATCAGTTCTTTGATGGGATGGAGTAGGAACTGATGTGGGGACCACCCTTGCCCTATTGTTCTGGTTCTTTCGAGCAGTTGCCCTACTTGCAGAATTATGATATCCATTTGTTCTAGGTGGTGCTGCTGGATGACTAGCATGTATTGGAACTTTCTGTTGAAACCCATTAATACTCCTCCTCTGGTTATAAGCCAACCTCTTGGCTTTATCAGATAACAAGCTCCAGGCCTCTGAAAGAAACTTAAATGCACCCTCAGCACCGACAGATTTGTTTTTATCAGGGTGAAGCAGAAGAGCCAACTTCCTGTATTGCTTCTTTATTGTTTCATCATCTGCAGAGGGATTTAGACCAAGTATTCCATACCAGTCTACTTCCCCATTTACTTTATTCTCTGCAGAAATGTACACGTCACATGTTGTCAAGATTTGAGAAATGCTTTCAAGTCCTGGATATAAAATTTGTGCTTTCAAGGCAATTTTTTTAGCACCAGTAAAATCCTTATTTTCAAATTTTCCCTCAGCAATAGTCATTGCCCTAAGTGCCTCGTCTCTATTGCACTCCATAGTCTCACAGTGATATGGCTCTTCAATGTTCACCTGGTTATTGATCCACACTGTCACTAGGACATGACAATCAGTAATAACACCCAATGACCAGCTGAATAAGAGTACAGATGCCTGAAGTTGAATCCTAAGGATCCCTCAACTAAAGGGACGTTGTTAATTATCAAGAACCTAATTCATGGCAAAACATGAAGTAAGGATGAATCATATAAACTGGACAAATTACAAAACTCAGTTACTTTACATATGAAATGGGCATTGGTGTTCATATAGCAGTCTTGATCAAAGGTGCACAATAAATGCCTCAATAGAAATTTTAAAAAGTTACTCATTTGTATATAAGTATTGCCTTAGTGGTTCTTGAATTGCAACATCAAACATATAAATTTCTCGTCAGTTCAACAATCACAAATTTTGGGTCATTCAGAATGCTGCAAATCTCACGGTGTGACATGGCAAGAGGTCTACTAAAATAATTATAATCTCAAGCTCAGCTCTAAAGTACCCTAAAATATTCATATCAACTTTAAACATATCAATGATCAAAGCTTTGCACATCCATGTACGATAATGTGAAAGAAATTCATATCGGGTACGACGGATTGTAGCTGTGAACAAGAAAGGATAGAGTACTGAGGTTCAGATCATGTATATCTCTTCTGCAAGTGCAAAATGCAAGTTCTTTAAACACACGAGAAATAAAAGGCAAAAAAGTGAAACAAGAAAAATACAACTTGATCCAACTTAAGAACATCTAATTGCAAAAGGCCCATTTATCAGTGGGGTTAAAAGTTTATGTAACTGAACTTACTTTACAGTTCTAATTGAAAAGAACAATGTAAATGACGACCACAAGCAACAAAATTACCCAAAATGGTTAAAATTCAGAGACACAAAATTCCTCTCCCGCCCTCCGCATGCGTGAAAAAATGAAATTCCCAAAGGATCTGAACAAAGGTCATAAACAAGTAGAAAACGCAAAAAATAACTCACCAATCTTCACATTCAACACGCCAGATTCAAACCCTAGATTCAGTACCAGAATTTCTGGCCTAAAACAAAATTCAAATTTAAATGAAAGTAAATAGGGTAAAAGAACGATTACCCGTTAAACTCCGAATTTGAATCTTGAAATTTTTGTGGGTTTTTTCCCACCAAATTGAAAAAGATTGAAACTTTGGGTCAAAACCCCACAAGAGGAGAAATCTAAAATGCCCAATGAAAATTTGTAAATAGGAAAAGTGTAATCATAGACTGGAGATATTTTTTTACAATTCACTACTTTTTGGGTAAACTTTTAACTAGAGTTACTTTACCCTTTTCCTTGGTGTTTAACTAGAGTTACTTTTACAACTCAACGTCTTCCTGTTTGGCAATGTTATTTCAAAAAATATATTCTTAAACAATAATTTGATATCATTTCAACCAAATATTCTTCAATAAAATAATATTACACGCAAATAAAAAAAATTCCTTATTTTTTAACCACACATTTCTCATCAATACACTATTCAATAATGCATCATTACCAAAATAATATGACTTAAAAACCCCCCCTAAACTTTATCACCGTTTGACATCTATTAAAATGAGTTTTTTCTAGGGCAATATGCATTTTAAAATAGTGAAAATATGTGAATAAAAAAGTATGAATTTTTTTTTTTTTTCATTCAAATGCAAAATATTTAATACATGAATGTGCGGTTTAAATTAGTTTGAGAAAAAAGAGTTTTTATTTAATAGATGTCAGACAAGCACAAAATAAGATCGACAATTATTGTTCAGGTTTCAATTTTCTCACTACTTTTTGGGTAAACTTTTAACTAGAGTTACTTTACCCTTTTCCTTGGTGTTTAACTAGAGTTACTTTTACAACTCAACATCTTCCTGTTTGACAATGTTATTTCAAAAAAATATATTCTTAAACAATGATTTGATATCATTTCAACCAAACATTCTTCAATAAAATAATATTACACGCAGATAAAAAAAATTCCTTATTTTTTAACCACACATTTCTCATCAATACACTATTCAATAATGCATCATTACCAAAATAATATGACTTAAAAACCCCCCTAAACTTTATCACCGTTTGACATCTATTAAAATGAGTTTTTTCTAGGGCAATATGCATTTTAAAATAGTGAAAATATGTGAATAAAAAAGTATGAATTTTTTTTTTTCATTCAAATGCAAAATATTTAATACATGAATGTGCGGTTTAAATTAGTTTGAGAAAAAAGAGTTTTTATTTAATAGATGTCAAACAAGCACAAAATAAGATCGACAATTATTGTTCAGGTTTCAAATTTTAATTTATTTTGAAACAGAATAAGTAGTGGAACCCGAAACTTATAAGTACTCACGATCGCTTCCATTTAAAAAGATTGCTACTTTTTAGTTTTTAGTGAATGTTTCAAAGTACTTATTTATAAGAGTTTTGCTCCTATAACAGGGAGGCTAACCGCCTCCCTGACAGAAGATCCACAAAGGGGGTGCGACCTGGAAAAGAAAAAGGAACCTTCCCCCCATTTGTGGGGTTCTGTCAAGGGTGCGGTCAGTCCCCTTATTGCTGTAGCAAGATTTTATTTATAATATTCAACCTAAAATCTTTAGGGAAAAAATCATACTTACCTATTAAATTCAAAATTTTTTAATATATACTGTAATAATGTTTATATAAGATTTATTATATAAAAATAAAATAACAAAAAAGATACTGCTTCCTATAATTCCTCTATTAGACTTTTTGTAAATGAAAATTAAATATGAGCCAATAATACGCCTGTGTTAATTATCACTGTAAAGGCGTTCGCAAATTCAAATTTCTATGGGTAACTAGTCGATTCAACATGGTGGAAGAATGATCAATTGAATGTAATTTCCAAAACTTAGGCTGTTTGTGCGATCATCTTGAATTCATGTCTCTTTGTATGTGTAAAATATGACAGTATATAGAAGTGAAAGTTTATTTCATTGCCCTTTTTTCAAAACTACATACAGGATTCCAGCTTTAAATAGTACACATGCTAACTGAATACAAGATTTGTTGTAGCCAATTACAGAGACGTGTGGAGTTGGGAAATGTTTCAAATTCAAACTTGGATTTCCCAGAATCATGTTGTTCCTATCTGGTAAGCAAAAGACTCAGTGTCTTCAGTTACTGTTGCTCCAATACGCCCCCTCAATCGAATGGGCAGCTCTTGCACATGAAGGTTGTCACGCAGCAATGTAAACCGAGCAAAGGCCAATGGTTTGGTAAGCAAATCAGCCAATTACTCTTTCGTGGACAGGAAGGAGACTTCAATTTTCTTTTGTAATACTTGATCTCTAACATAATGAAAATCTATTTCAATATGCTTCGTGCGAGCGTAAAACACAGGATTCGAAGATAAGTATGTTGCACCAATATTGTCCCACCAAAGTTTCGAACAACTTGGCAATTTTAAATGGAGATCATGTAGAAGAGATCGTAATCACTGGATTTCAGCCGCAGTGTTGGATAAGGACTTATATTCAAACTCGGTGCTGCTTCTGGCTACTGTTTGTTGTTGCTTGCAACTCCATGATATAAGATTTTGACCATGAAACACACAGTATGCGTTAGAGTGTTGGTTGACAATACTAACTGTATCGCAAGTAGTTGCTGGTGGTGAAATAGACACACCATCCATGGCCTCAGTTTCTGTGACATGTCTTGATAAGTGTTAATTAGATTCATTTGGGAGTGGACCAGTTGAAAATAAAGTATCACCTGCAGGAAGAGTTAGTGTACATGTTTGTGGAGGATTTAAATTGAAAGGGAGTGATGTAGTGGATGTTTGATGAGAGACATATGACTTTTCAAAAGTTTAGTATGGAAAATACGACTCATCAAAAACAACATGCCGAGAGACAAAAATTTTCCCCGTGGATAAATCTAGACACTTGTAGCCTTGATGTGAGAGACTGTAGCCAATAAAGATGCATGTTTTAGATCGAAAATCAATTTTACGTCTATTATAAGGACGAAAATTAGGCCAACAAGCACAACCAAAAATGCGCAAGAGTTATAGTTTGGAATTTTGTTATATAAGCCTTTTCAAAAGGAGATATATTTTGTAAGATTTTTGTAGGCAAGTGGTTTATAATATATGTAGAAGTTTGAAAGGCATCTTCCCAATATGATTGTGCAAGACGAGAGTGAGCTAATAAAGATAGTCCCATTTCAACTATTTGACGGTGCCGTCTTTCAACAGCCCCCATTTGTTCATGTGTCTAAAGGCAAGCAATTCGATGTTGAATTCCACATGTTTGAAAATAATTATTTAAATGTCTATATTCACCCCTCCCAATCAGATTGAATAGCTTTAATTTTTGTATCGAAGTGACGCTCAACATAATTTTGAAATTGCATAATAGTTGTTTCAACATCAGATTTTTGCTTCAAAGGAAAATACCATAAAAATTTAGTAAAGTCATCAAAAAATCAGACATAATATCAAGATCCATAACTAGAAATTACAGAACTTGGTCCCCATACATCTGAATAAATTAGCTCTAAAGGCTAACTGGAACGACTAATGGAATTAGAAAAGGGTAAATTATAGCTTTTGGCCATCTCACATTCAGGACAAACAGGTTGTCGTTTATTTGTTCCAACGGGAATTTTATTTGCATTTAGCACAAGGCTACAGTACGGAAAGATGCATGCCCTAAGCTATGATGCCAATCTGAAATGGAAACTTGAACACCAGAAAAAGCAGAACGAACAATATGTTAGAGAGATTGCGAAAAACAATAGAGACCATCTTTGCTATGACCCTTATGCAGGATGCTCCCCAAGTAATCCTTAATCCGAAAGAAAGTGTCATGAAACTCAAAATAAACATTATTATCCTGACTGAATTTTTGAATAGATAATAAATTATTTTGGATTTTTGGAACAATAAGAATTTGGTCAAGAATAAAAGATTTGGAAGGTGTGGCTAAAGAAGCATTGCCAATGTGAGTTATATTCAAACCTGATCCATCCCCAACATGAATTTGATCAGTACCACCATAGTCATCACCACGAATGTTGAGGTTACCGAGATTGTTTGTTAGATGGTGTGTTGCTCCAGTATCAGCAAGCCACTCTTGATTAATTGGGTGTTGAGTTTGAGTAGTGGAGAAATTGACTTGAGCATGTGGTCTGGATGGTGGTGGGTTAAAGTTGGGATCATAGCGCTTGTAGCACCGTGAGGCCGTGTGTCCTGCTTTATCACATATTTGGCACCACAAATTAGAAATTAAAGGAGAATGGGTATTGTTATTACCTCGGCCAAAAACACGCCCCCTGCCCCGTGAGTTGGATGAATTGCCACGGCCTCGAAAGCAGAGAAAATTGGTGGTTTTGTGACAACATTTGCTTAAGCATTAGCTAGTCTATATTCACCCCTCCCAATCAGATTGAATAGCTTTAATTTTTGTATCGAAGTGACGCTCAGCATAATTTTGAAATTGCATAAAAATTGTTTCAACATCAGATTTTTGCTTCAAAGGAAAATACCATAAAAATTTAGTAAAGTCATCAAAAAATCAGACATAATATCAAGATCCATAACTAGAAATTACAGAACTTGGTCCCCATACATCTGAATAAATTAGCTCTAAAGGCTAATTGGAACGACTAATGGAATTAGAAAAGGGTAAATTATAGCTTTTGGCCATCTCACATTCAGGACAAACAGGTTGTCGTTTATTTGTTCCAACGGGAATTTTATTTGCATTTAGCACAAGGCTACAGTACGGAAAGATGCATGCCCTAAGCTATGATGCCAATCTGAAATGGAAACTTGAACACCAGAAAAAGCAGAACGAACAATATGTTAGAGAGATTGCGAAAAACAATAGAGACCATCTTTGCTATGACCCTTATGCAGGATGCTCCCCAAGTAATCCTTAATCCGAAAGAAAGTGTCATGAAACTCAAAATAAACATTATTATCCTGACTGAATTTTTGAATAGATAATAAATTATTTTGGATTTTTGGAACAATAAGAATTTGGTCAAGAATAAAAGATTTGGAAGGTGTGGCTAAAGAAGCATTGCCAATGTGAGTTATATTCAAACCTGATCCATCCCCAACATGAATTTGATCAGTACCACCATAGTCATCACCACGAATGTTGAGGTTATCGAGATTGTTTGTTAGATGGTGTGTCGCTCCAGTGTCAACAAGCCACTCTTGATTAGTTGGGTGTTGAGTTTGAGTAGT